CCTTGTACCTGGTCTTATTTCTTATTTCCAACCTTTGTAGTTTACCTTATTCTTGGGACACTTAGGGCAGTAGCTGTGCAGACACTAATCAATTACAAGAACTCCGTTTCTTTTGCTTACAGTTAAACATAGAAGAAAGAGATATTTTCTGAGCTATTTGGGTAAGACTTCAGAAATGGGAAGAGGGGGTAAAAATGTGTGTGTGTCTGTGTGTGTGTGTGTGTGGGTGTGTGTGAGAGAGAGAGAGAGAATGAATGAATGAATGAATATGAATTTGTGTGAGTATAGGTGCACAGCCTATGTATGTGTTTGGAGCAGGGTTTCTTCATTTGTAACTAGCCCAGAGTGCTACAGTTTGAGGGGTGCGAAGGTGTTTCTGTTGCCTTCCTGTGTCCATTGTCTCTTGAGAAGGTCTTTTTTAAAGATTCAGATGCTCTTAAGTCACAGATACTGAGTATTCCTTGTCCCTTTCTCTCTTCTTCTGCCTGTGGCTTCCTGGGAACCCACAGCATAGTTGTGGCCAAAGGCCCCCTGCTCAGGCCCTGAGAACCTTGCTCTGTCTGTGGAAGGCTAACAGTGGCACTGCCTATCTTATGAAAAGCCTTTGAAAGAGCAGCAAAGCCCCTTCCACAAGACAGGAAGATTTGTTTCTCCCATTTCTCTTTCTATAAAGTGGTCATCTCTGTGGTGGCTCTGTTGGCCTTTCTCTACCCCAAGCAAAAGAGAGAACCCGTATCCAGTCCCGAAGTCCAGGCTGGACAGGATACTACCAGACTGAGGGTGAAGTGATGACCAGGCCCAGTATTCATGAGAATGTTGGCAGAATTGAAGGACCAAGGTGCTGACCAGATGGAGCCTGCACTTTTCTAGGTCCCAGCAATTCCCCTGTTGTCTTCAGGCTGGGGCTGAGGCTGAGTTGTGGAGCTGTAGCTTCAAGTGAAATGTACTAAGTACTGACCTTTGACTGCCCAGTGACTTAGTTCTGGGATCTCTGTCCATTCCTCAGGACAGAACACAGGGTGTAGGATGCCTGCCTTCCTAGAATCTGCTCTGAAGTGGGAAGGTCATAGGCAGCACAGAGCAGCATCCAGAAGGGTAATATGGACTCTGCCTCCTGGATGCCCCTCCACCCCACCTGGTAAAACATTCTTGAGGTTCATGAAGGCCAGTCCTCATTACCTGGTAAACCCATTCCCTGTAGCTCCATCACATCACAGGGTATCCATAGGGACCCCCCAGTCCTCCAGATACTCAACCTTAATGTGTTTGGGTTACTTTCCACCCCATCCTCTGAAAGACTTCTCCTTTGCTACTCACCCTATCCCCACTAGGCCTGCAGCTCTCCAGTCCCTCTCAGTTTCCATGCTTTTCCTTAGGGCTTTGACCTTGACACTTAGCACCCACACCGAGGAAGCAAGGGTTAAAGTTTTGTCTGCCACAGTAATTGAGTTTTGTAGCACATAATTTCCTTCTATGAGGGGCCTGTTTATCTTTTAAAAAATTTTTTTTCAATATTGTAGTTGGACACAATAACTTTTATTTTATTTATTTTTATGTGATGCTGAGAATCAAACCCAGGCCTTGCGAGGCAAGTGCTCTACCACTGAGCCCAGCCACCACACCCCCTTCCCCCGCCTGTTTATCTTGAGAGTTCCAAGCATGTAAGGCTTTTTTTTTTTTTTTTAATTTTTTTTTTTATGTGGTGCTGAGGATTGAACCCAGTGCCTCACACATGCTAGGCAAGCACTCTACCACTGCGCCACAACTCAGCCCCGCGTGTAAGGCTTTTAGATAGTATAAAACTGACCCCACAGCAAGTGCTCTTGTCTGTAATTGGTATTTTTTTGAAACAGAAGTTCTTTTGAAGGGTAAACCTTGGGCTGTGGCTGTGGCTCAGTGGTAGCACACTTGCCTGGCATGTGTGAGGCACTGGGTTCGGTTCTCTGCACCACATATAAATAAATAAAAGTCTATTAACAACTAAAAAAAAATATGAAAAAATAGAGAGTTAACCTTCAGGGCTCAAATTGAATTTACTCATTTGAATCCTGTCAGTTCTGTTATCAGACTTGTTTAGGAAACACAGGCTTCTTCCAACATACATTAGGGAAGAGTTGGAGCATGGCACAAATACTATGCTTGCTTATGTGTGGTTTTCTCTAGAAGAAACACAGGCTGAGATTAGGAAACTGTGGTCTGCGGAATGATAGTGCATTAGATATATTTTTATTGGGACATAGCTACAGCCATTCAAGTATGCATTATCTGAACCATGAGTCCTCACATGAAGAGATCAAATGGTCCCCAGAAGACAAAGTTATTGAGTTGTCTCCCTTTAGAAAAAGTTTGGTTCTCTTGCCCTAGGGAACTCTAGAATAAACGGTTCCCATCTAAACAGGACACCAATGGTACACAAAATCAAAGTGCCCACACCACAGATGTACACCAAGTTCCTTTCAGGTCGTGCATGTTATAGCCTCCCTATCCCCTAGTGTGGTTGGACTGACTCCTTACAGTGTAGTTCATGGTAAGGTTACACTAACCTGCATCCCACTGTGTCACAATAAGTACATGCTCTTTCCAAGGTGAGAGGCCAGACTTCATGTGACATTGTGTGTTTCTTAGCCATCAAACACACTGCCTGTGTACCCACACTTAGCAGATGTCTAACTTTTTTGTGTGTTTTGGATGAAGTTTTGGATGAAATATGGTGCTTAGCCACATTATTCCCATAAGCCCTGCATTTAAAAAATATATATATATATTTTTTGGTAGTTGTGGATGGACAGAATGCCTTTATTTTATTTGTAGATGGTGCTAAAGATTGAATTCAGTGCCTCGCACATGTTAGGCAAGTGCTCTGCCACTGAGCTACAGCCCCAGCCCAAGCTCTGCATTTTAAAGGCCTGGTCTCACATTCTGCAGTGATTTAAGGAACACTGTATAAGTGTTGTGATACAGCAGAACTTATTGTACTTCGAAAGCAAACACCAAAAGGTGTGGACTCACTCTTGACACTCAATATATTGTCATGAACGTTCTCATTTCAGGTTTTGTGGGGTGAGAGTACAAGGTCAGCCTGAGCTGCTACTCATGAGGTGTTTCCAAGTCCTCTGGAAACTTCGGGTCTGACTTGGGGAGTGTTTTGAAGGGCATTGCCTAGAAAGAGTATGATTTTCAGCCCCCAGCATTGCTTTGGCCACTCACTATTGACGTCCACATGACCAGGTTGTGCCTCAGTTTCCCCACTTGTACAATGAGAGTTGATAGTATTTATCTTATAGTACGTGGGTATGAGTATCATCTGTGGAGATATCTGTGGGGTAATTGCTCAATTGGTGTTAGGAGTTTTGCCCTTTTTAAGGTAAAAGTTCTTTTTAGGAAGAATAATACACATTTTCTGTTTAACAATAAAGGAGCAATAAACTTGGAATGGGATCTGAGGATCCCATTGTTGAAAAGGGTGGTCTGAGGGGTTCAGTCTAGTCACCTCAGAGAGCTAGCTCCCCTCTGAAACTTGAATCTGCTCATGAATTAAGTGTTTGCCATTTTCCTGGTGTGTGGCTGGCACTCTTCCAGGAATGTTGACAAGTTATCTCTGTTCTCATATCTAGTGGGTATAGCAGTGGAATCCCAAATACTTTGACATGGGGTAAGGGAGCTTGTACTTTCTGTTTGTGGCCTGATCTTCCAGCATAAGTATTCATTTTGTCCAGCATGGCTGCCATGGAGGCATCCAATGATGGGTGTTCCATTATTCTCCTTTACTGGCATGTGCATGTGTCACTTGAACCCTACCAAGTGTCTTATCATTTCAGGAGAAAACAGGAAGTTAAATGTGGTTAACCAAAGACTTTTTGAGCCATACAGTGGAAGGTGTTGCCTTGGGCAACTTGTCCACAGAGTGTTAAGGTAGAAAGAGAAGGGATGGGCCTGGACTTCAGATCTAGGTCATCTAGACTTCGATTTTCTTTCTTTGTTGAGGGGCACACAAGCCTGCTTTCACTCATGGAGGTTCTCAGTGAGTGGCAGCTGTCATTCCTGGTATGCATGAGAAGCATTTGGCATAAGCTAGTGGAACCTCACCTCTGCTTGTCATGTTCTAGAACCATTGCAAGGAGAGAGTCTCTTTCTGGCACCTTAATTTGGGGTCCTTGAAGGCCCACAGAGCTCCTAGTCATACCACTGGGCTGTGAGCCCATTCTGATATTATGTATAAGAATAAAAATGCCTGTATTTCTGGTGTGTCTTTAGTTCCACAACCACTAAGATTATAATCCAGTTTCAGTTAGCGATTAGTAAGTCTTTTTTTCTTTTTGTGAAAACCTTTAGCACAGGACTCACCAGGGCCTCCTTCCTGGGCATGAGACCTCCCTGCTTAGTGGCTTGGCCCATGCCGTTTCCCTGCGGGGAACATCTCTCCTGTTCTGTCCTGGCCTCATCTGAAGGCAGTCTTCAGTCCACACCACATGCTTTCCGGAGTCAGAGTGGTGGATTTTTTCAGGAAGGTACTTGACTTGTTGGCTTTGTTACAGGGCACCCCAGGAACCACAGATTTTTGCAAGGCTAATTTACAGAAATGTAGGCTTAACTCAATAGTACATATTGAGCCCATACTTGTGCTGCTCACTGAAATGAAGGCAAATGATGAATGGGAAAAAGAAACTTTGGTCGATGAAGAGTTTAGCATCAAGCCAGGAGAAATGAAACTGCTGAGTGATATGGGCATTGTTGCTATGGGTCCCCATCAGTGCCTTGATAAGGGATACTGTCCTGGTAATTATTGTGGTGATCACTCAGGGAGGCTAGTGCCCAGGTAGATGTGCTTTGGAGATGAGCCAAGGGGTTGGATTTACTGTTTTAGAGCTTGAGTCTCTGTTAAGTGGTACACATGATGGATTTTTTTAAGCGGTGTAGATATTTCAGATAAACAGTGGGAAAGGAACAGTGGCCTCTCCTGGACTGCTAAAGTTGATATGTTCACCTTGTGTCCTTCCTAGGTCTTAACCATTGAAGGAGCTGGCCTCCGTCCCCAACCCTGTCTCTGCTCCTAGCTCTCTCCTCCCTGCAGTCTGGATGCCACTTATCCCATCCTTTGGCTTACACTTGAACTTTGAGCAGGTTGGTGGTGTTATTTTATCTAGATTGCGTCTTTATTTTCTTCCTTCCTCTCTTGGTTCTGGGGATGGAATCCAAGGTCTCCCCTATACGAGGCAAGTGCTCTACCACTAAGCTACACCTCCAATCCCTGGTTTTCCTTTTTATTCTTCGATTTTTTTTTTTTTATGTACAAGACTAATGCATAGTTACCATTAAAGAGTTTAGACAGTACAGTAATGTTAACTACAGAAAGTGAAAGGTCCTTAATAATCCATCCTTTAGAGATAGTCATCTGCTGATTTTTAGTTCAGTTCCTTTCAGTTTTGATTTGAGTAATATTTATTTCAGTTTTCTTCCCCTATAGATGATTCATTTCATATTTTGTACTGAGGATTGAACTCAGGGATGCTTTCCAGCTGTACTACATCCCCCAGTCTTTTGCTCTTTCATTTTGAGACAAAAGTCTAAGTTGCCTAGGCTGGCTTCAAACTTGAGATCCTCCTGCGTCAGCCTCCTAAGTTGCCGGTGTACATTACCAGGCCAAGCAATGATAACCATTTCTAAAATGCTGTGAGCTACTGTACTTTTCCTGCAACTTGGTCCTTCTCTTTCAAACTATATTCAGCATCATTGTATGTCAGTGATGTAAGGATGAGAAAACTGAGGCTCAACTTCTTATAGCCAGCCACTGGGTGCAAGACGGAGTTGAGGCTCACTCTCTGTTCAGTGCTATTTCTGATTATGGAAGTTGACTGCTTAGAACATCTTTTTATCTCCTGAGTTAAATTGTATTCCTTGTACTTGTCCTTAATGAGATTTGATGTTGTTTAAAAGTTGAAAGCTGGCACTTTTGGTTTCAATTCCTTCTGAAATGAATCCCAGCCATTCTTTTACACGGAGATGTGAGTCAGGAAGTGACTCAGGCCAATCTAGGCAGATTGAGGTGTCTGTTCTACTCAGGAAGATATGTGAAACACAGCATCAGAATATGGCTTAGCTGTTCTCTCCATCCCCAGGTACTTCTGGGACACATTGAGACACCTGAGTTTCACTTAAAGATAGGAAGCCACCAGAAGGGATGCAACTTCCTCAGGCTATGCTACAGTGGGGAGAGTAGATGGGGATTCTGGACCCAGGCAGGAGATGAAGGTGTAGAGAGAGAGAAAGAGCACAGTCCCCACCCTTGGTACTGTCAGGATGCAGAGACTTGTTTGCACTGTGCATCTTCATGGAGTTAGGGGCACTCTGGAGGTGAGTACCCATGTGCATACCTCTGTGTCGCTGTCATTCCTATATGTTCTGATGCTGTTGAGTTTAGGTCGGCCCAATGCTAGTGAGGCTAGCTATGGGCCAATAACATGCCTGCACCCTACCATTGACCCTGCTGATTTGAAGACTGTCTTCCCTCCTGGCAGGAAAAGGTGTCTCTAGCTTCCCTGAGAACAGTGGCTGCCCCCAGGTGCAGTACCCCCATGCTTTTCATATCTAAATAAAACTCTTGACCTTCCTTCCCCATCTCAGAAAAGTAATTCCATCTTGGTTGCTCAGGGAAAATAAAACCAAACAAAGCAGCTCTCCTCCCCTCTCATCCAACTTTTGATATATCTTCAGAGTACACCCACTATTCATTCAGTCTGTGTCCCCAATGCTGTCCCTTTCCAGATCTGATTCACAAAGTGCTGGGAACTCCCCTCACCCTCTGCTCTCCTTGGCCCTTCTTCTTTGTCTGTTCTCCAGCCGCATGACCCTCTAGAAAAAATTGGAACCCTCCTGTCTTCCTAGATTCCTGAGTTTACCCCACTTTCGTGGTGTCACTGTGAGCTCAGCACCTTCCTGTACCTTCTCCAGCTTTGCCTCTGTACTGGTGGGAACAAGTGGGCATTAGAATGCTGTTCCTCCTGTGGGCACTCCATTTGGGGCATGTCTCCTTTCAAAACTGAATTCTGATGCTGTCCTTTCTCTCTGGGCTTCCTGCTGCTTTGTATGCTCTGACCACCCCAGGTCCACCCCTTATGTCCCCACAGCACTGTCACCTGACACTCTTGGTTGCTTCACTGACTATTCCCCTCCAACCCCAGAAAAATCTACTTCTCAGAACATCAGTCCTGTCACTTCTACCACATTCCTTAACCCACCTTATTACTCATTTTCATGTTTGGAATATGGATATTTTTTATACTTGTACAGGTTGAGCATCCCTCATCAGAAATGTTTCTAAACTTTTTTGTTTAGAATGTTTCTAAACATTTTTTTAAAATTTTCTTTCTTTCTTTTTTTTTTTTCCTAAGTGCTAATGTGAAGCTGAAAAAGTTTTGGGTTTTTGGAGCATTTCAAATTTCACATTTTCTAATTAGGGATGCTCAACTGGTGAGGTCTATGCCAACATTCCAAAATCTGGGGTGGTGGTGATGGTGGAAACAACTCAGATCTGAAACTCTTGCTCATAAGCATTTTGGATAAGTGATACTCAACCTGTAGAATGTTAGTACAATATAGATACCATGTTATAGTGTAGATAATATCGTTAATAAGACCTCAAGGGTAGGGCTCAGATTTGTTCTATTAACTTTTTTTTTAAGTTATCAAGAGACATTTACTAGCCAGATGCAGTGGTGCACGCCCGTAATTCCAGTGCTCAGGAGGCTAAGGCAGGAGGATCAAAAGTTCAAAGCCATGGGCTGGGGATGTGGCTCAAGCGGTAGCGCACTCGCCTGGCATGCGTGCGGCCTGGGTTCGATCCTCAGCACCACATACAAACAAAGATGTTGTGTCCGCCGAAAACTAAAAAAATAAATAAATATTAAAATTCTCTCTCTCTCTCTCTCTCTCTAAAAAAAAAAAAAAAACAACAAAGCCTCAGCAAATTAGTGAGACTCTAAGCAACTTTGCAAGATCTTGTTTCAAAATAAAAAATGAAAAGGGCTGGGGGTGTGGCTCTGTGGTTAAGCGCCCCTGGGTTCAATCCCTAGTGGGAGGGGGGGATGAAAATAACTGGCCTAGTGTGCTGGGTTCTTTGATTTCCTGAGTCTTCTTTTTTTCTGTTATCAGCAGTCTCTTGCAATTGTTTTAGAACATGTTTTCTGACTGAGATTCTCAAACCAGTTGGATAGTGGCATTTTACTAAAATAAAGCAGAATAGAGTAGAGATTATTGAAACTTGCACTCTCATAAAGCCCCATTATCAGTAAAATGTTAAAGCCTCAGTGGCCCTATTGCCCTGGGCTGGTGAAGGCCCTCATGGCTTGGCCTTTATAGGGCCCCCATAGAGCTACTGGAGCCTGCCTGCCTAGACTCCAGCTGAGGGAGACCTGTGCTGTGTCCCCACCTACCTGTTAGCCCGGGGGCATTAGACGACAAAGCATCAGGTTTTTCTTGATACTGCAAGTGTTGCTTGCTTTGTAGGCCTGAGGCCTGGAGTTGGGGTATTTGGAGTGAGATGTGGGTGCTGATAAGTGGCCCTGGCAGCCTCAGGGCCCTCACCGTTAATGTGGGCCCACTGCTATTGGGATTTCTGGTTTTACAGGCAGCAGCCATCAAAACTGGTTTCTTTCTGATAATTTTGTAGTTGTCACTGTGTCTGTGCTTGCAGTGCAGTGGCCAGAAAGCCTGGTTTGCTGGGGATATTGGTTCTGCCTGCCTCGAGGAAGAAGGAGCCTTGCCTTGCAAGCACATACCCTTCCCCAGGATCACACTCAATGATGACCAGGAATTGGCCAGTAGCAGGGTCCACTTCAAGGACAGGACTGTGAAGGAAGCTCAGATCTGAGTGGGGAGGTCAGAGCTCACTGAGACCTCTGCAGGATGGGCCCCACACCCACCCAGTGACCTGTCTCTGGAAGGCCCAGGACATGAAGCCAACCATCAACTCTGGACCTGGGTTTGGCTTCCCCCAGACACTGCACACTAAGCACACCCTGGCATTGGGACCTCTGTTGGAGACACTGACCCCAGAACTCTTTGTAGGGTGGATCTGCTCTTCCCTGCCCCTCAGGCTAATAGTGAAGCTATATGGTGAAGTTTGTTTTTAGGATGTATATATTTTAGTTGTAGATGGACACAGTACCTTATATTTTATTTATTTATTTCTATGCCGTTCTGAGAGTTGAACCCAATGCCTCATATATGCTAGGCAAGTGCTCTTCCACTGAGCCACAACCCCAGCCCAGGTCTTGGGTTTTGATGAGCTTCGTGGAACAGAGCTTGTGAGTCCAGAGGAGCCCTGTCTAGTGGGAGCAGAGGCAGTGTGGGAAAGCCTGGGGATGGGGGTGTTTATAAGTTACAGGGAAGGGTCAGTGTCATATGTCCATATTTCTGGTCTGGCCCACCCCCAACCCCTATAGGCACTGGGCCAGACGAGGAGCTTTACCCACTTTTTTCCTTTTGGTGCTGCTGGGAATCAAACCCAGGACCTCATACATACTAGGCTTAGAATTTTACCACTGAGCCACATCCTCACATCCTCACATCCCCACATCCCCACATCCCCAGCTGCACCTTCACCTTTAAGTGGCAGAATTTTCCAACCTCAGTGGGGCTTTCCCCCTCAACCCTTTGATTCTGGGATTGAACCTAGGGATCTTCTGCCACTGAGCTGTAACCCGCCTGTCTCAGCTTCCTGGGGTTACTGGCGTGCACTACTGTGTTTAGCTTCTTTTTTGAAGTTCTGGTTTCAACTTTCACTAGATAGTCTCCTCTCTGGTCTTTGCCTTGGAGTGCATGTACCTGCCATCCAAGATAGTTGTCAGAAACTCTTTTCTTGTCTAATCTGAGACAAGAACATCTGAGAAACTCTTGGTTTGGGTGATGCCTAAAGAAGAGGTGTTCCATCCCTCTCACAGTGGGGAAGGGTGATGGATATTCAGAGGGCAGACTTGTTTGGGGTCTCATGGGAAGACAGGACAGACAGATTGTCATTGAGCAGGTTTGACAGCATTGGTAGTCAAGGCGTGTTGGTGGAAAAGCAGAAGCCATATAACTTTAGAAGGAAGGAAGAATTGGAGGGGCAGCTGGCCTGGATTAGCAGGCAAACTGAAGGCAGCTGGGGGCCAAACATTTGGTGTGGGGTGTGTGGTAGGTGTAGACTGGAACTGCAGGAGGTGCTGAGAGGGTGAGTGAAGCTAAATCTGAATGCCTAAAGTCATCCAGGTTTGGGACCCAACTCTAAATCCCTAGTCTAGGTCATGTTAGAGCTAAATCATGGCATGTGGTTGGTGCTGAGAGAGAAGTTGTTAGGTCCCACCCTCTTCCATCAGTATGGGTCGGGAGCATAGAGCTTTCTGAGACCTATGAGGAGCAGCTCAGTCTGCCCTGGCTGAGACCTATTTAATTTGACCCTTGTCGATGGGCTGGCTGTGCTTAGCCAGGCTAGCATGTGCAAACAGTCTACTTTCTCTGGCTCCAGGAGCATGAAGCAATTGTCACATTTTCCTTTCAGTGTAAGCCCACGAAAGAGCACATTTGGGCAGGTTCCTGCACTATTGCTCACTTGTGAAGTCGGTGCCTTAAAAGAGGTGGCAAGTGAATCAGCTCAGGAGTAGGTTCTGTATATGATTATGGAACCCCTTCTTGCCATTCAGCCCCCAGCCTGCCAGAAGGTGGTTTCTGGAACTGGATCTGCCCAGCACTACCTGAGATACGCCTCCCCAGGGTATTCACCAATAAGGAAACTGAGGCGCTGGGAAGATGGGTACCCTCCTTCAAGAGCACAGAAAGAATCATAGGGCTTCAGCACAAAGCATGCCAAAGGTGTGAGCCAGGGTTTTCTGTGGGGCTCACACACAATGGGTTCTAACTATCCCACGGAAAACTATGACATGGGAAGTTGTATGAGAGCTCAGCAACTTATTTCTTTCTTGTCCCCTATTGAACTCTGGAGTAGTTAGACCTCAACTTTCCCAAGTCTTGTTTCCCTTGACCTGTTGGAACATGAAGGCTGGCCTGGGCTTAAAGTGGTCCCTTTTAAAAAGTGCCTGTGTTCTGGATCCTGCTGTGGAATGCCTGCTGCCTCCCTACAGACAGGCATGCTGCGCTGTCCTCCATCCTGTCTCTGTGAGGGTTAACAGCACTTCAGCTTGTTGTCTGGAACCGGTTCAGACTGGTTTTCTGGAAAGTGCTTTGTCTCTCAAACTGAATCCTGGGAAGGGTCATGTGGAGCCCAGTGATGTCACGGGATCAAAAACTGATTCAGCTATTTTTTCCTTCTTTTCTTTCTTCTTTAAATCAAGATATGTGTGTGCTGCAGGTACAGGGTGGTGGCACATTGGTGGGCCAGGACTCATTTTCCTCAAAGTGTACCATTCTGGCAACTAGAGGGTTAAAAGTCACCCTCACTCCCTGCCTCCTGGAGGTAAGCAGGAAGTGAGGAGACCTCCATTCACTGAAGTGGAGCATCAGGGGTCAACCCATTCACTTTAGTGAAGGGTTGGGCTGGCCCTACCTTGCTTCTAGGACAGTGTGATTATGCCCTTCCTGATTTCCACATGTCTCTAGTCCAGTGCAGATGCTCACAATCCCTTAGATCTTATTTCCCATCTAGAAAAATTTTCCTCTATTTTCTCTTGATTTGTCAGTGCACAGAATTCCTCCTATCTGATAAGCAGCCCCTAGCCATTGTTTTTGTTCAGCTACCCACAGGTTTCTAGCCCCTGAGAGACTGAGATAAAGCTTGCCCCCCACCCCCCAGCCATAAAGAAATATCCTGGAGATGCTTTTGCAGACTTGCATTTGTTGTATATTGTACCTACTTTTGCCATCACCATACAGCAAGGAATACAGTCAAAGCCAATACCCTGAAAAGTTTTTTAAAGGTATTAACTTCCTTATGCCCAGTTAAAATGCTGTGTCTTCTCCTCCCCTCAAAGTTCAGAATGACTGAGGAAGCATGCCGAACACGAAGTCAGAAACGAGCCCTTGAACCGGACCCTATAGAGGATGATGTGGAGAGTAAGAAAATGAAAATGGAGAGAGGATTGTCAGCTTCAGACTTAAATTCTGATGGAGATACAAGGGTGACACCTGAGCCAGGAGCAGGTCCAGCCCAAGGATTGCTGAGGGCAGCAGAGGCCACCACAATGGGCAGAGGTGATGGACTGGTGAGCGACGGGCCAGTGGATATGCGAACCTCACACAGGTGAGTGGGAGGACCTGGAGGGAGATGTGCTGGAGCCAAAGAGAGATTCATTGTAGAGGCAGAGGTGAGCCACACTCTAGGACCCAAGCAGGCTTGGAGGAAACACCTTTACTGATTTGTCATACACATATCTATAGGTTCCACTCTGACATCACTTCACTGGCAGCTGTGCCATCCTGGCCAAGGAACCTCCCTCCTCCCTCCTGGGGTCTTGGATCCTGGGGAATAGGGTATGAGAGAAGGAGGTGGGTGGAGGAGGGTGTTATTCCTGTCAGATACCTTACTGTCAGCATATTTTTTTAAAACATGTACATGTATCACATCAATCATCTCAGTGCTTTTGGTTTATAGGAAAACTTGAGTTTGTCATGTGGTTTTTATCTCCCTGCTCTTCAGATCTGTGAGTCAGGAGGCTAGGGATTCTACACTCTGCCTTAATCACTTGGTATTGGAGTTGGGAGCCCAACCTGGGGTTCTACTCATCAGAGGAAGGGGCCTCTCAGTTGCTTGTCTTGGTAGTACCTGAGTTCAGCTTGTTGTTTTTATTCCTTCTATGTTATCACTAATTATGTCGGTGACTTTGCCTGATGCTTAGCTCTTGTGAGGACTCAGAGCCTAAAAGCAATCAGACTCCTCATTTCTTCATTTAAAAAAATTCCCTTTTTTCCCTGCTGGGAGAGATTCAGACCTAGCATCTGTTCTTGTATCACCACTCCCCTCAGAGCTCCCTAGAATGTTCACACTCAGTTGCCCACTTCAGGCCCTAGCCCTTTGACAGTCTCCTCTATAACCCCTGGTTCATCTTCCCTTACTGCTAACCAAAGTCTTTCCCTTGTGTGGGGCCTGTGTTTCCACATCTCTTTGCCCAGGGACGACCATTGCAGAGTAGGGGAAACTGCTACCTTCCTCGCCCTCCCCATCTGTGTTGACTGACATAGGGTTACCAGACTATAGTCTTTGTGCTAAATTCATTTTGGAGTCCAGAGTGTAGGGATCCTAAGAACTTAGGAAATTGTCTAGCCTGGTGTCTCTTGGCTTTTAGAATCCATATCTATGTGAGATAAGTGGGAAAATCCAACACCCTTCCTGTTGGGAAAGCATCTTTGACTTCAGGGACATGCATTGTATTCTTGCCATCCAAAAAAAGCTTTTCTGACTGCTTTCTGCCACCCTGCTTCTAAACCCAGGACTTCATTTTCAGTTCTGAGAATAAAAAGATGAATGTATAAATGGTGCAAGACTCCTTACCCTCCGTTTAACATAGTCTGTTTTCAGATCGATGAGCAGCCAGGGGTGGGTTTGAAGTCAAGGCATGAGAAACTGGGATATGGGAAACTGCCTGGTTCCTCTTACTCCAGTCTGCATTTTCTCCCATAATCACCATGCTTCTCTGCAGAGTAGGTCCATGAAATGTGAGGGAGAGGTTTACTGTCAAAAGAACTCATAGGTGAGAATCAAACCCAGATCTTTCTTTTGTCAAAGCCCAAGGCTACACTGGACCTCCGAGTTTCTTGGTTCCTTTTCCCAATGGGCCATCAATTTCCAAACTAAGGTCACTTAGACAATATATCATTGTTAACCGAATTTAGTCTGGATGTTTTTCTTATATGTAAAGGATATGAGGATGCAGAGAACAGAGATTAGCCCAGGAAGTGGGCAAGGGTCCTCCTAGAGCACTAGAGACATTCCAGGTCTGTTGTGTAGCAGTGTGAGAACAGGGAAATGGCCCAGCTCTGGAGACTAGCAGGCAAAGCTGGGGTCAAGCCATGCTCAATGGTTGACCTTAGCCTGAGTTCCTTTGCTGGTAAAATGGGCTTTGCAGGTTGATGGGGTGACCAAGGACTGTGATACTCATCAGCTTTGGCACTTAGAGTGTAAGGCAGGAAGCCCACCTAGGCAGTGTTGATGACAATTTCCCTTCAATCTGTAGCTTTACTCAGAATGAGATGTCTCAGGTAGTCTAATGTACCCTTCATCCCAAGTTCTCACATTGAGCATCTTGTCTGGTTCTTTGGGCAAGTCCATTTGTGAGGTTTTGACAGAATCGAGGAGAACAAGGGTGGGGGCTGGGATTGTGGCTCAGTGGTAGAGTGCTCGCCTAGCATGCACGAGGCTCTGGGTTCAATATTGTGTATACCTAAAACAAACAAATAAGTAAATATTTTTAAAAAAGAGAGAAAAAAAGGAGAACAAAGGATCATGTCTAGTTCTAAAACTATAATCCATTCTGGAGTAAGTGGCTCAAGTCAGTCTTTGAATCCCTGTTGGATGTGTCTGGCTGGGAACACCCTTTGAGAGACCTCCCTTTAGCACATTGTGGCTGTGCCTTGGTTTTTCAGGTAGCATTTAATTTCACATAGGCACAGCTTTATCTAACCACAGTGTGGGTTGGGTGACAGTCTTTTGTAGTCACAGATCCAGCATGTCAATTTTAAATTGTCCTGCCAAGATGATTTAATTTTCATCTTTTAAAATTGAAATATAGCAAGAATAGTGAAAGGTAAACCACATAAATTAAGAAACAGAACATGGGGCTGGGGTTGTGGCTCAAGCGGTAGCGTGCTCGCCTGGCATGCGTGCTGCCCGGGTTCGATCCTCAGCACCACATACCAACAAAGATGTTGTGTCCACCGAGAACTAAAAAATAAATATTAAGAAAAAAAGAAACAGAACATTGCTGGCACTCCTGAAGTGCCCCCCTTGTGCCCACTTCCAAGGGTAATCACTTTCTTATCTCCTTCCCTTCCTCTCTGCACCACCATTCTCACCTTTACTCTTGGACTAAGGATTGAACCCAGGGCATTCTAGCACTGAGCTACTGAGCTATATCCCAAGGTGGGGAGTGCCCCCCCCCACCTCTGCGCCTTTTGAGACAGGGGTCTCACTGAGTTCCCAGTCTGGCCTTGAACTTGGAATCCTTCAATCCCAGCCTCCCAAGTCACTTTGATTGTAAGCATATGCCATCATGTCCAGCTGGTAATCACTTTCTTGTGATTACTCCCAACAGCATAGATTAGTTTTTTTTCTACTTTTGTAGGATTTGTATAGTATATGCCCTCGCTTTCTTTCAGCATTGTCTTTGTGAGATTTACTTGTGTTGTTGTATGTAGCAGTGATTCATTTTTAGTGCTTTGTAGTACAGTTGGTCTTTTGTGGGTTCTGTATCCACAGAGTCAGCCAACCTCAGATCAAATATTTGGGCAGGGATTAGGGGTGTAGCTTAGTGGTATAGTGCTTTCCTATCATGCACAAGGCCTTGAGTTCAGTGCTCAACACCAGTATTGCATTGAGACATATAGACTTCTTTTCTTGTGGTTATTTTCTAAACAATGCAGTGTAACTATTTTACATTTACATAGTATTTAAACTGTATTAAGTATTAAAATGTTCTAGAGATGATTTAAAGTGTGTGTGTGTGTGTGTGTGTGTGTGTGTGTGTGTGTGTGTGTATGTATGCATGCATAGGTTCTATGCAGATACTAATATATCATTTATATAAGAGACTTGATGGGCTGGGGTTGTGGCTCAGTGGTAGAGCATGTGTGAGGCACTGGGTTTGATTCTCAGCACTGCATAGAAATAAATGAATAAAATAAAGGTCCATCAACAACTAATATATATATAGAGATTTGAACAACTTCAGATTTTGTTATCCATAGGGAGTTCTGAAACCAGTCCCCTCTACCAATACCAAGGGTTGCCTGTTTCTTTTCTAGAATTTCTTTTTGGTTCTTTTTCAAAATTATGCCTTAAAAAAAAAAAGCTGTCTTACTCTACCATCTTCTGACCCAATTTGGGTATTTTAAAGGTTAGAGATGGAAAGGTTTCTAGGAGGGAATTTCCCTTTTCTTTAAGAAATTAGCTAGTGAATTGAAGTTGCTAAAGAGGTGTAGATATATATTTATGTGTGTATTCATATATTTGTGCATACATACATATATATATGCATGTTTGTATGTATAGAGGGATGATTTGGAGCATGCAGAGGCAGATAAAATGATGGGATCAATGGCTGTGTTGTTTTCCCTGACTCCTGTCTAACTTGGTCGTTTGCTCTTCTTTTTGTAGTACTAGGGATTGTTGAACCCTGGGTTTTGTGTGTGTGTTGGGCAAGTACTCTACCACCAACCCAGACATATACCCAGCCTTTTTTGATGGGGGTGGGGAGTACTGGGATTGAACCCAGGGGCACTGTACTACTGAGCTACAACCAGCCATTTTTAGTTTTTATTTTGAGACAGCTGAGGTAATGTAGTAAGATCCTCAAACTTGTGATCCTCCTGCCTCAGCGCCCGCAGAGCTGGGATTACAGTAGGTGTGTACCACCACACCTGGCTAATTTAATAGTTTTTTCAACTTAAGCTCCTAACATATGTTTTGTATTTGAAATTAATTGGAGGACAACTTTCAGTTTTGAGCAAGGAGATCATCAAATCCTCTTTCCAAAACATACAGTGATAAAGCAAATCGGAAGTGACAAAACCAAAACAAAATCACTTCAGCACTCTGGAAATTAGCCAGAGGCATATAACAGTCTGAAAGTGTTTATATTTAAAAAACAAAACAAACAAACAAACAAACAAAATCCTGCTAAATTCTGGGTGAGAACTGTGAGATTCTATGGCAATTGCCAGGGACTATATTCCTATACTTTCTCCTTGCTACTTGATGAGGAAGTTTTGCCCAGCCCATGCCGGTTGAGGACCAGTAGCTTTTCTGAAGATGTGAAAATGGGAAATTGTTCAGTTTGGAGTGGAGAACAGCATCCCTGCCTCCTGCCCATTGTTCTTGTTGGTCAAAGTGACAGTCTTGGAGATGGGTAAATGATGAGGTCAATGAGTCTGTTAGCCAGGTTTGGTTATGTTTAGAGTAAGACAAAAAAAAAAAAAACTATTTGAAAAGTAATGGCTGAAAACATATTTGAGGAGGAATTTGTTGAGGAGGAAGCTCAACAAATCCTGAGTGGCAAAAATAGAGAGATTTATACAAGAACACATCAT